GGTGAGGAGCTCTAGTGGTGCTGTTGGGTAAATAGGTTCAAACTCACCAACTGTAGCAAGCAGTTGAAGGCTTACCCAATAGGGCCACTTGAGTTCCTTGGGCATAAACATCGGGGAACATAGGCATATTTACATTTTGTCCACCAAGCATTATGAGTTTTGGTTGAAATGTTTCTAGAAACTATTACAATGAAGGAAGATCCGGCAAATAATTTTTCTAAGCTGCACGTCATGGCCAGTGGATAGAATGGTTTACTAATATTTTATGTTTGGCTTCCAAGTTAAAAGATGACATTGTTGCTGTGTCAATACAGTAATAAAATCACAGGCTTGTAAAAAAGAATCCTTTTGAAAGATAAAGATACTAAACAAGAAACAGTTTCTTATTGCTCACTGAGGAACTACCTAATTAATCTATTTCATTTGTTTTTGTTAGTCATTCTCTTTTATTCTGTGCCCCTGTACTGGGTTCTAGAAGATGCATAATGTAAATCAACAGCTTTCTTTAGTCCACAAAGATACTCCTTGAACTGCATTATTTGAATGGATAGAAAACCGCGACTATTAGATATGACAGACCTCCTAGTCATTAAATGCAGGGTATTTCCTATTCTGTCCCAGATGGTAGCCATGATTTAATTTTAGCTTGAAATTAATTAACACTAAATACAATTACAATTTTAGAGATCAGTCTCACGAGGTGCACATCAAGGGCCCAAAATAACTAATAAGACAACCAACAGCGCTATCATCCCAGGATGCTCTACTGGACAGCAGGTTCTACACCTCTCAACTCGCTGTTCTGTCCAGCCCCTCGACACGGAAATAGGTTCCATAGTGGAAAAAACAGGCCACGTTAAGACCTGTGGCCTGACTTTGTGAGAAACCAGTTAACCCGGCAGAGGACCCAGATGAAAGGAATCATCATAGAAGCTCCCTGTTGGACTCTGTTAATGTGTTTCTTTCTTTCTTTTTTATTGCCAATTGATGCTCTCCTTTTTTCATCTTAAGATTTTGGGTTTCTTTTACTGATTTGGATGAACTCTTTAAGAATATGAATCAGCTATGCTATTTAGGGTCAAATATTTTCCTAGTGAGCTATTTGTTACTTACATTTGGTTAAGATGATTGACAACCACACACACACACTGCAAAACAGGTTCCCATACCACTTCTACACAGTGCAGTGATCTGGGTTACATTCCTCAGTTTGTGTCAATGTTTTTATTATTTCCATTCTAGACCTTTGTCATTACTTAAGACTTCGTTAAAAGGAAATTTTATGCCTCAAGTTTGTTTTTAATGTTTCAAAATAGTAATACTCATATAGTTCAAACATCAAAGCAACCTGCAGACATATACTCATCTTGGTCTCATCTGATTCCTCCTATAGTTTTATTATTGTTTCTGGACGTTGTTTACATCACTTTCTCCTATTTTCTTATGCTAAAGGCAGCTTACATTCTATTTTGTGCTGTACCTTG